TCCAGAAATAAAAAGCCCAGTTGGTTATTGTGTATCATTCTTTTAACATTCTTTGAATTCTGTTTGCTGGTATTTTGGTGAAGATTTTTTGCATCAATGTTCACAAGAGATATTGATCTGTGGTCTTCTTTTCTTGTAGTGTCTTTGTCTGACTTTGTGGTATCAAGGTAATGCTAGGTTCTTGATTTATTTGAGTTTGGAAAAGTGACCCCTTTTTTTTCTCCTTTTTGGAAGAGTTTGAAGAGGATTGGTGTTCATTCTTTAAATGTTGATAGATTCAACCGTGACCCTCATCTTTGTTGGGACATTTTGCTTGTTTGTTTGTTTAATTATATTTCAATTTTAGAAAGAGAGGAAGGGAGAGGGAGAGAGAGAGAGAAACATTGATGGGAGAGAAACATCAACTGGCTGCCTCCTCATGCCCCATATTGGGGAAAGAGCCCACAACCTGGGCATGTGCCTTGGTGCATGGGTTGATGATGAACCACTGAGCCAACCCAGCCTAGTTCATTGGGATGTTTTGATTACTAATTCAATCTTCTTAATAATTATGAGTCTGTTCAGATTTTCTGTTTCTTCATGATTCAGTCTTAGTAGGTATGTGTTACTAGGAGTTTATCAGTTTCATCTGGGTTATCCATTTCGTTGGGGTACAATTATTCATAGTATACTCTTATAATCCTTTATATTTCTGTGGCATCATTTATAATGTCCCCTTGTTAATTTCTGATTTGACTTTTTTGGGTCTTCTTTTTTTTTTTTTTTTAAGTCAATTTGGTTTGTCCATTTTGTTTATCTTTTTATTGATATTTTGACTTCTTTATTGTTTCACTATTTTCTGTTGTATTTATCTCTGGTCAAGTCTTTATTATTTCCTTCCTTTTGTTAGCTTTGGGTTTTGTTTTAATATTCTTTTTTTAACATGTACAATTAAGTTACTGACTTGAAAACCTTTTTCTTTTATTTAAGTATGGGTTTTTTTGTTGTGTTTTTTAAAATATATATATTTTTTTATTTCAGAGAGAAGAGAGAGAGAGAGAGAGCTATGAAAAAATCAATGATGAGAGAGAATCATTGATCGGCTGCCTCCTGCACACCCGCTACTGGGGATCGGGCCTCCAACCCAGGCATGTGCCCCTGAGTGAAATCAAACCCAAGACCCTTCAATCCTCAGGCCGACGCTCTATCCACTAGCCAAACCAGGTAGGGCTTAAGTATGTTGTTATTAATTTTTAAAAAGAGGAAGAAAGAGGGAGAGAAAGAAACATGGATTGGGCTGCCTCCTACATGCCCCCTACTGGAGGTCAAGCCTGAAATCCTGGGCATGCGCCCTGACTGGGAATCAAAACAGCGACTCTTGGTGCATGGAATTATACTCAACCAACTGAGCCACACCAACTGGGCTCCTTTTTCATTTTAATGTATATGTTTGTACTTATAAATGTCCCTCTTAGCACGATTTTTCTGCACCCCATAAGTGTTGGTATGTTGTGTTTTCATTTTTGTTCACCTCACGGTATTTTCTAATCTCCCTTGTGATTTCTCCTTTGACCTACTGATCATTTAAGAGTATGTTAATTTCCACATATTTTCAGTTTTCCTTCTGCTATTGATTTCTAGTTCCATTTCATTGTGGTGAGAAAAAAAATACTTTGCATGCACATATGATTTCAAACTTTTAAAATGCTTTAAGATTTGTATTGTGGGCCCTACCTGGCTTGACTCAGTGTATAGAGCATCAACCTGCGGACTGCAGGGTCCTGGATTTGATTCCAGTCAAGAGCACATGCCTGGGTTGCAGGCTCGATTACCAATAGGGGGCATGTAGGAGGCAGTTGATCAATGATTCTCTTTCATCATTAATATTTCTACCTCTCTTTTTCTCTCCCCTCCTCTCTGAAATAAATAAAAATATATTTTAAAAGATTTTTGTTATGGCCAAACATATACTCTATCCTAGAGACTATTCCATCTGCACTTGAGAAGAATGTATATTCTACTTGAGTGTTCTGTATATGTCTATTAGATCTAGTAATGTACAGCATTGTTCAAGGCCTCCATTTTATTATATTTCTGTCCGGTTTTCTAACTGTTATTGAAAATGGATATTGAAGATTCCAACTATTATTGTAGCCTGTATTTCTCCCTTCAATTTTATCAATTTTTGCTTCTACCGGTAGATAGACTTACGTGACTGGATAGATATTCCATATTCATGGATTGGCAAGAACCAATATTGTGATTGCAGATCTCCCTCAGATTGACCTATAAATTCTAAGCAAAGCTGTAGCAGCCTTTTTGGCACAAGCAGACAACCTGATTCTAAATTTTATGTAGAATATCCAAAACAATTTTGAAAAAGAAGAACAAAGCTGGATGGCTTAAAATTGCCAATTTCAAAATTTACTATAAACCTATAGTAATCAAGACAGTGTGGTATTGGTATAAAGATAGGCATATGAATTAATGTAACAGTAAGAATCAGAAATAATTCTTACATTTATGGTCAATTGATTTTCAAGGAACTAGCTAACAGTTTGGAGAAAAAGACATTATTTTCAACAAATGATGCTAGGACAATTTGAAATTCATGTGCAAAAAAAGTTAACTCACACCATATACAAAATTAACTCAAAATGGATCTTACACCTAAATGTAAAAGTAAAAAAAGTTCTAGGAGAAAACATAGGCTAAAATCTTTATGACCTTGGACTAGGCAGAGTTCTTAAATATGACATCAAAAGCACAGTTCACACACACACAAAAAGTAATAAATTGGACTTCATCAAAATGAAAACGTTTGTGCTTCAAAAGATACTCGTAATAAGTTGCAAAGACAAGACAGAGACTAAGAGAAAATATTTACAAATTATATATCTGATAAACGACTTGTATCCAAAATATACCAAGAACCACTAATAAGTTTAACAATCCAATTAAAAACTGAGTGAAACATTTGAATGTAGATTTCACCAGAGGGACTGTATGAATGGCTAAACAGCACTTGAAAAGATTCTCAAGATCATTAGTCATTAGGGAAATGAAAATTAAAACCACAATAAGATAGCATTACATCTTTTTTTAATAATTTTTTCTTTATTAAAGTATTACATTTGTATCCTTATCCCTCCCAATGTCCCTCCCACCCTCCCAGTCACGCCCTCACCCCGCTGGTGTCTGTGTCCGTTGGTTAGGCTTAAAGGCATGCATACAAGTCCTTTGGCTGATCCCTAGCATTACATCTTATTACCCACTAGGGCTATAATAAAAATGACAGATGATACCAAGTGTTGTGGAGAGGATATGGGGAAATCTTCATATATTGCTGGCAAAAATGCAAAATGAACAGCCACACTGTGAAAGAATCTTGGAAGTTTTTTAAACAAACTTCCCATATGACCCAGAAATTCCACTACTAGGTATCTACCCAAGAGAAATTAAAATGTATGTCCACACAAAGACTTGTACATAAATGTTCAAAACAGTACCATTCATAATAGCCAAAAGCCGAAAACACCCCAAATATCCATCAACAGATGAATGAATAAACAAAATGTGGTATACCCATACAACTGACTATCTTTCAGCCATAAAACCAATAAAGCATTGATACATGCTACAACACGAATGAAACTCAAACACATTATATTAAGTGAAAGAAGCCAATTGCAAAAACTGACCAAAGAATCAGGTCAGTAATTGCCTGAAACTGAGGTGAAATTGAGGATTGATTGCAGATACTCATGAGGGAACTTTATGAGGTTTGGGGAATGTTCTAAATCTAGATTGTTGGCAATGGTTGCACAGCACTATAAATTTATTAAAAATAATTAACTATACACTTACAATGGGTGAAATTAATGGTATATAAATTACATTTCAATAAAATGATAAAAAAATTTTAATGAATTTCAGAAATACTTGTCCATTATGATTGGCAGCTTGCTCCAGGCTCTTTCTGGGACTTAGTGACCAGAGATGCATGCAGACATGGAAAGAGAAAGAATTTTTTTAGAAATAGTAATACTGAGGAGGGTCTAGCAGTGGTTCTCAACCTTCTGGCCCTTTAAATACAGTTCTTCATGTTGTGACCCAACCATAAAATTATTTTCGTTGCTACTTCAGCACTGTAATGTTGCTACTGTTATGAATCGTAATGTAAATATCTGATATGCAGGATGGTCTTAGGCGACCCCTGTGAAAGGGTCGTTTGACCACCAAAGGGGTCGCGACCCACAGGTTGAGAACCGCTGGGACAACCAGAGAAAAAACTTTCAAGAGATCAGCCTTGGGAATGGCCAGAAGTTGGTGAGGAAACTATCCAGGCTGAAAGGCAAGGATTAGAAAGGGAGACTTACTGGATAGAGTTGCAGGGACTGAAATGGTGGGGATTTAGGCAACATTAAAGAACACAGTTCCACCCTCATGCCCCTGGGGGCGCCAGAGGAGCAAGTCCCAGTTGTGCCCATAGGTATTCCCAGCCTCTGAAGGCAGGGCACTCTCCTGGGTTCATTCAAAAACCAACCCAGGTTCTTCAGAGACCAGGACGTTCAATTTCCTCTTATTTTCTTTCTTGGGCAGAAGAAGGAATTTGTCTGAAGGTGGCTTCCTTCTGAGTCTGAGAAGGCGGCGGGAAGAGCCAAGTGAGGCCTTGTGACTCTCCCCGGGAGAAGCAGCAGGTACAGCCAAAAGAAACTGCCCTGACAGTAGCTTTTTCAGGATGACACATGCTATTTTCTTCCTCTCCCTCTGTGACTCAGATGCACATTTCACACAGACCTTCGCCTGTGTTTTCCTTCCTCTGCCCTGATTGCTGGCCAGCAGACTGTGTACACAATGTTTTCCCACTCCTGCTCCCCACTCTGAATCAGCCTGGTAAAAACATCAGCTGGGAGAGAGCTATGTTTAGCAGGTTAAACTCCTCTACAACAAATACCTTCGCCATGAACATCTTTAACGAGGAGTCCTCCAGAGCCAGGGTATGTCTAACCTAATTCAAGCTGTAGTCAATGAAACAAAATTCTAATCCATACCACGTATTTGTACAGTCCAGTGGTGCTTCCTTGTGAAAAGATCTGACCTGTAATAGTTTCTTTTCCCCAAGGAGCCTAAGAAATAAGTGGAGGCAAAAACAGAGCCCCCTGTGTACTTGGAGAGTATTTTCCCACAGACATGCAGTTTTCAAAATGCAGTTCCCAAGAAGTCTTTGTGAGGACTTTTCCCAATAGTCTACCTAATCCTGGACAAGAAAAAGAGATAGGTTGTAGATTTGATAAGCAAGAATCTTCTCAGCAGGCAACCATGGGAACTCTCAATATTCAAATAGGCCCTGATCCCAAAGCACTGTAGAAAGTGATCAAGAGACCCAGAAATGAATCACGTTAAAGGAAGCAAAAGTAGCGTTCCCCAGGTGATAGTACTGTTGAGGCCCAAAGCTATACTAATGTACTAATGAGAGCCAAGTCTTTAAAAATACAGTGTCTAGGACAGTGACGGCGAACCTATGACACGTGTGTCAGAGGTGACACACGAACTCATTTTTTTGGTTGATTTTTCTTTGTTAAATGACATTTAAATATATAAAATAAATATCAAAAATATGTCTTTGGGTTTTTTTTATTGTTTTATTGCTTAACGTATTACAAAGGGTATTACATATTGGTACCTAGATCATCTGACAGAATCAGTCACCTTGATTGTTCTTACATACTGCTAAGTGCAAGATGTTCTTCAAGGGGCAGAATTGCTAGGGGACGCCATTATCTCCCTCTCCTCGCTCCATAAAATAGAAACTTCCACTTTAAAATTGTGAAGAGCATTTACCTTCCTGTTACTCCCCTCTCAGTTTTCCCCAAAGAAAGAGTGACCCATCTAGAGAGGCACTGGGAAAGGAACTGAGCATGTGCAGTCCCGTCTGCACCTTTTCCTGGGACTAGCCTGCCCCCCAGACAGGTGCATTCCCCAGCTTCCCCAGAAGGTCGGGGGTGGGGGGTGAGTTTTAGAAAGTCTGGTTTCTCCTCCACTTTGGCCTCACCCCATCAAAGATGACATTTTTATTTCCATGTGTCTGATTTGTGTGTCTGTTTCTCAAAAGGTTTTAAACATGGAGGGGTAAGAGCTGTGGTTCATTGGACTTTTCACAGCCCCCAAATCAAGACTTTAAGTAGCCCTGCCACTGAAAAGTTTGAAAACCAGAGAATAACTCAAAGAAATGAATCTAGCAGGAGATGAAATTCACCAAATGCCCTTGAGCTTCTTGGTTAGGAAGGGAGGCACCTCTTCTAGAAGACAATGCAGCTTGAGGGGCTTGCACACGAGGGATGAAGAGACAGCTTTGCAGGAGCCTGGAGTGGAGAGACCAGCGTCACCACCAGACTCCCTCATATCCCAAGTGTGAAGTCAGACTTGGTGAGAGCTCCAAATTGAGAACCAGGAAATTTGAGTTCAAGTTCCAGATCATCCAAAGTGCAGCATTTTTTGAGCCTCATTCCTTATTTGTAAACTAGTGGCCCGGTGCACAAAATTCATGCACTCGGGGAGCGGGGGTCCCCAGCCTGGCCTGTGCCCTGTCACAATGTGGGAGCCCCCGTAATCCATCGCCCCAAAGAGGTAGGCCAGAGCCAGAGGAGGCCTCCGCCGTGGCCCCGCCCGCATCCCCAACACTGCAAGTCCCTGCCCACCCGCGCCTGCTGCACTTGCAGCCTCCAACTGATCAGTCATTATGTGTGAGGGTGTTCCGACCATTTGCATATTACTGTTTTATTAGTATAGATGAGCATAAATATCATTTTCACCTCCCCAGTAGGGTTACTGTGAGAATCACAGTGGTTGTTCGAGGCAGCAAACTCTGGTGTTTCCCTATGCCGCCATCTTGATTTCGGCTGCTGGTTGAATTTAATGGCTGAGTAGCAACAGAGGGGAATGGAGGGGCAGCTATTCTTCTGATTGGGTTCAATTCCGCCAGCATCCTCCTTGCTGGGTCTCCTCAGGTTGGCTGCACCTCTCTATGGAGGGTACAGCTCAAGTCACACTGCCTTCTCCATACAGTTTTCTCCAAGCCCAGCAGCACAGCCCTTGTGAAGGAGGGAAAATAATTTTCCTTCTACCCTTCTAAGTTCTTCTGGCTGACCTAATAATCAAATTGAGATGAGACAGATTAACAAGAGAAAATAACCAAGTTTATTATGTATGTACATACAGGGGTTCTACAAGACTATGGGGGCAGAGGACAAATCGGGCAGTTGAGGCTTAAATTGCCACCTTGAGCTAAGAAGGGGGGGTGGGGTGTTGTAGTTTGGGACTTCAAAGGGCAGGAAGGCAGTTCACATGAGTTTGGTAAACAAATGTTTGCTGGGCCATCATCTTTAACATCTGACGCAGAGAGGACTTTGATCAACCCTGCGAGGTCCCTCCCTGTCTATCACACTCAGTTCCTATCAAACTGTACTTTATCTATGATAACAGTTCCCTGAAACAGGATCTCTGAATTCCTGTAGGCAGGCAAGGGAGAGGGTCAAGGTCCTTTCTGAGTCTTTTGTTTCCTAAAATTAACCAGCTTTAAATAATCAATATCCGAAGAAGCATATTTTGGGGTGCAAACTCTGCTTTCCCTCATCATCACCAGGGACTTTGTGAGAAATACAAATGCCCAGTCCTACCCAAACCCACTGAAGCAGGAGGCCCAGGGTGAGGCCCAGGTTCTGATGCCTGTGAAGTTTGAAACCACTGGTGACACCACCGCTCCCTTTCCTTTGCTTGCAGTTACTCACTCTGGGATACTGTCCAATCCCTTGTTATTCCCACCCCAACCCCCCAAAAACCCTGTTTATCTTTGTAAATAGTCCTTTTGTCATAGTCTCCTCAAATTTCTCATTTTGAGCGTGCCATTGTTTCCACAGGACCTAACATCATCTTTTAGGGGCTTCTTGGGATCACAAAAATAAGACAACTGCTTCGTTTTCTGCCTGTGGAAAAAACAGGCCCGCTGTCAAAGGAGGAGAAATAGCCGCTAATGCAGCGGTTCTCAACCTGTGGGTCGCGACCCTTTGGGGGTCGAATGACCCCTTCACAGGGGTCGCCTAAGACCATCGGAAAACACATATATAATTACATATTGTTTTTGTGATTAATCACTATGCTTTAATTATGTTCAATTTGTAACAATAAAAATACATCCTGCATATCAGATATTTACATTATGATGCATAACAGTAGCAAATTTATAGTTATGAAGTAGCAACAAAAATAATTTTATGGTTGGGGGTCACCACAACATGAGGAACTGTATTAAAGGGTCGCGGCATTAGGAAGGTTGAGAACCACCGTGCTAATGGAATAATTAAGTAAGGAGATCTAGTTTCAGATCATCCCAAATGGTTTAGGCAAACTTCTGCAGTGGGTCTCTGTGTTTCAGGAAATGTCTGTGTTTAGTAAACTAAGAAATGATGTAACATCCTTGCGAGACATATGACTAAAATCTGAGGTTTTTGTGTGGGCTTGGGCTGTAATGTTGGCTTTTACCAAAGGCTTTAGTCTGAACAGGGGAAAATGCTAAAATAAGTTGCTGCTTGCAGAAGGAAGCTGCTGGTATTTCTGTCCTTTAATTAAGGCCAAAGCTATAGCAAGCTAAATTCATACCATTTATTTTTCATCCAATATGAAAGTTGTATGGGCCAAGATATAGCATTCGAGCAGCTGTAGAGAATAAGCAAGTTCAAAAAGTGAGTCGGCTACAGTGCACAAGGCCTAAAACAAGGAGACACTGTTTCTAAGTGTGTTGTTTCCTCAGGAAAGAAATATTCAACAGGGGTCAGGAAAGGAGCCTAGAGTAAAACTGAGAGGCCCCACTGCAACAAGTCTTTTCTTTGGAAATGTAAAGGTTAAAAAGTCTAGAGTCACCCGGCCGGTGTGGCTCAGTGGATTGTGCATTGACTCATGCACCAGAAGGTCACCAGTTTGATTCCTAGTGAGGGCACATGCCCGGATTCTGGGCTTGATTCCCAGTATGGGGCATGCTGGAGCCAGCTGATCGATGTTTCTATCTATCTATCCCTCTCCCTCTCTCTCTAAAATCAAGAAAAACGTATTTTTAAAAAAGAAGCCTAGAGTCAGGGTAAGAAAGAGGCTTTGGGAAAACTTAACCCAAAGTGCTACAACTAACCCAGGTTTTTCTTGTCTATGTGGATTGAATCTATTGCTTTCCTTGCAAATGAAGAAACTGGTTTTCCAAATAGCATCTCTTAATTTATGCCTTATGATGTATTAATTTAATCCCTGGAAAATGGTGAGGCAGGCTCTTTGTCTTCCAATTTTTTGTTTAATTCACTTTTTAAAAACAATTTCTCATCTTCCCCATCCACCCACCCCCAGAGTCACGGTATCCTCAGGCCTGTGTGTTTAGAGCCACCGCTTCAATGACCTTCCCCTCTCCGAACTTTCCAGAGAACACTCCAATGTAAAGGAACGGGCTCCTATTTGTCAGGGCCTGCTGTGGATGTGACTAGCTGATTAACAACTAGTAATCCTCTTGCCTAAGGCAGCTCAACAGAGTAGACTGCTCTCAGGACAGAAGGCCTGTCACGTAGTAGCTGTGTGATCTTGGGGAAGTTACAAAGAACCATACAAAGAATCATAAATTCTTGGACTCAGAAGTGACTAATGCTTGAATACATATTCTAACACCTTATTGAGGTGTTATCCACCTTCTATTTAATTTTCTACTGAAAATAACTTCTCTAACTTATTCAGAGCCTCCTATGGGCCAAGGCCCGTGTTAGGCATGTTGTAGACATTGTCACGACTCCTGGAAGTAACCCAGCAAGGTAGCTGGCACTAGCCCCATTTTATAAATGTGGAACTGAGACTCCTAGAGTGGCATAGTCCAAGTGGCAGAGCCAGGGTTCATACCCAGGTACAGCTGGCCTGGAAGTGGGTGCTTATTCAACTTAACTGTGATTTCCTGAGAGGCCCCATTCTAACCCTTTAGAGGGGAACTCACTTAGAGATGCAATATGACGCCAGCAGCAAAGGCACCTGGGAAATGCTGCACTCTGCTTAACCTTCTGTGACTGTTTAACTCTGTAGCCTCAGGCTTGGCTGACCGCCTAGCTAGAAATCTGGAATTCTGTCCAAAGATAAACATGCCCCCAGGAAGGAGTTAATGAACTTACAGAGTGTGGATAACTGCCTGATGCTCCCTGTTAACTTAGAAATGCACTGTTCTTTCTGGTGGTCTACAGGATTAACCCCCCCCCAAATGGTTTTACTATTAACCCCCTACAAAAAAGAGACCCTGTCTTCGGAGGAGTCTAGATAATTCCCAGCTAGCCACCACTGTGCCCGTGTCTGTAAGTTTCTCCTATTAAAGCTCTTATGAATTTGAATAAGACTACATGTCAG